TGCATCATTTTTTTTCTCTACAGAACTTTTTTTCTCTAAAGATCCAGTGGCAATAGATGTCCATGCAGCACGTTACAGCCGTCCTACCCGTTTTATTCAGTGACTCCATAACTTCGGTTTTGGTCTCGTTGTAGAGTGTGGGGATCGCTGTGTGAGTAAAATATATAGAGACGGGTTGCTCTATCTCGGCTCCAAAGTGTGCAACATAGTGCGAAAAGCCCTGGTTCTCAACGACTGAGAACTGGCGTGCAGACTGCAGGTCACAAAGCAACGCAGTCTCGCCTAGCTAGTAGCTAACGAAATAGCAAAGAGGTTTAAGACGATCGTTTGGAGACAAATGCACTTATTCACATTTATAAGCACCGCAGTTGGTTTCCTGGAATGTTAAATCTGCAACGAGAGACTGTCAAACATCAAAAAGTTGCGAAGATGAAGTCAGCTTCTCTTTCGAATTCGCCAGCTTTTTGTTTGAGTTTTCCTGTTCCACCTTAAATTCTGACAGACATTTAAGGTGGAATGGGAAAACTCGAACAAAAAGCTGGCGAATAAGAAGTGACTTCAACCTCGTAAAACAGTCGAACGTTGAGAGACATTTTACAAGAAACTGTTCTAAGCTACTTTTGAGGAAAAGTGTCCTGGCGGAGATGGTATGTTTAAAAAGCGGTTATAGCTAAAGCTTAAAGTCTGCGTTTTCGTTTATATTTTTTAGCCTGTACTAGGACATTAGCACATACTGGACATAAAATGTTGTGGCTCCCAAGTTGGTTTGAAATTTTTTTTTTTTAAATGGCTCTTCTTAACATTTGGGTTGTCGACTCCTACCTAACCTAGCTTTTAATGCAGAGGGTGTTGGTCGGATTTCTCCCTCATCCAGTTGTGTTTTTGTTATGTGCACGGCACAGACTGTCTGGGCGCTGCACTTCTGCACTTACAAGTTCCGCCTTTAGCGTTCTGCCAACGTTACCTTAGAAATTAAAATTTACCCCCCCCCCACCCCTTCTGTCTGTCTCTCTGTCTGTCCTTCTATACAATCCTGTCTTTACCACTATCTGTCTATCTATCTCTCTACCGCTCTCTGTCTGTCTCTCTACCTCTGTCTCTGTGTCTCTCTCGCGCTCTCTCTCTCGCTCGCTCTGTCTGTCTGTCTGTCTGTCTGTCTGTCTGTCTGTCTGTCTCTGTCTATCTGTCTATTTTTCCTTCTACAACTATCTGTCCGTCTATCTATCTATCCCTCTACAACTGTCTATCTAGCTACCTATCTCTCTAGCCCTCTACCTGTCTGTCTAGATCTGTCCGTCTATCCATCTATCCCTCTACAACTGTCTGTCTGTGAATCTATCTGTCCTTCTACATCTATCTATCTATCTATCTATCTATCTATCTATCTATCTACCACTGTCTATCCCACTCCTCAAAAGAAAAAGACAAGTGCTAGTGCACGAGAGAAAGAGACAGTGTGCGATGTAATGAAGACAAAGTGTGAGAGAAAAAGAGACAGCACACGCAAGAGAGAAAGTGTACGCGATTAAAGTGCAAGAAATTAAATGCATGAGTGTAATAGTAAATTGTAAGTTAACAGTACATTTATCGAGTGTTACATTCTGTTGACTCATTTTTTGAAGTACAATAAAATAAAAAATTTAGGTCAGCCAAGTTACTTGCTTTTCAACGTTCGCATCAGTTTTTACAGTGCACATCAAAAATTACTTGTTTGAGAGCCCGAAGTATGTGTAAAAATTGTACCCGAATATGCAAAATGGTGTCTTATGCCCAATGACTGTTGGGATAGGCTCCAGCTCCCCCCGCGGCCCAGAAGGATAAGCGGCTTAGAGTGTGTGTGTGTGTGTGTGTGTGTGTGTGTGTGTGTGTGTGTGTGTGTAATAGTATAGAACCTTGCAGACCTCTAATAGAGTTTATCAGGACACAAATGACCAAGATGGAATGCTGTATTGTGATCTTTGATATGTAAATGTTTGTTTCATTTTAAGCAAAAAGAGTTTCACTGAATGACTGTTTTATATAACGTTTATTAAACTTTTGTTTTAGCAGGACATTTGAGGGGAGATTAAGACTTAAGTCATTACTCGTGAAAAATGGCAATCAACATAGCTGAATCACTGAGAGGTTTTGTTGATATGTAAAACCACACATAAAATAAAGTAGTAACTGCACACAGGTTCATTTGCATAACATTCTGGAGGAACAATATCCCAAAACAATTATGGTTTGAACTGGGCCATGAGAAGTTACACTTCAAAAATAAGTGACAAAATATAAGTGAAAGTGCATTTGCTGAATAAATTACATAAAAGCAAAAAAAGTCAGGTGGTTGCTTATGTATTTAAATTTTTGAGATTGTAGCTGTAAAACATGACAGAAAGTAATATGAGTGAAATGATGGGGGGAAAAATTTAAGTGTACCTTTATCTTAAAGTGAAAATGTGGTCTTAGACAAGACAGGTTCTGGAGCTGATTTAATAGATGTTTCTTGAAATGTTGTTAGCTAGTGTGTTCTGTCTCTACACTCGTACAATGCACAAATACAGCCATAACATTAATATTACTCATAAGTGTTTTTATGAGCATGTAGACTTTTATTCTCTTTTACAGATCTGATAGAAACACAGCCTGAGATAAATTTGATACATTTTTGCAGTATTTCATTTTTTTTCCACTTGGATTAAATTCAACAGTTGGATGGAACTTGTCTACTGTTATCTATAAAAATGAGCAAAAGTATGGCATTTAAAGATTGAAGACAGCTGCTACTACGGCCTTTAGCCTAACGATGCAACATACTGTTGTCCTTTTATTTATTTATTTTTTTTAAAAAAGATAAAGGTAATTGCTGTAACCAGAAAACTTTCTCTGGAACTCCTCCTTTAAACCTGTTTAAGATTTAGGGATTTGGAGACCTTAATGCAAAAGTATAATTGCATACAACATTTTACATCAGCTGTGCTTGCAACGAGTCAGTTTGTGAAATTTCTTCCCTCATACATATTCTACTTGACTGGCCCACACAGAGCCATCACCTCAACCCCATCAGACACCTTTGGGGTGAACTAGAACGGAGATTGGTAGTCAGGCCCTTTTGTCCAACATCAGTGTTTGACCTCACAAATGCTCTTCTGAAAGAGTGGACAAAAAATCCCACAGACACACTCCAAAATCTTGTAGAAAGCTTCCCAGAAGAGTGCAGGCTGTTATAGCTGCAAAGTGAGGGACCAACTCCATATTAATGCCTGTGGATTTAGAATGGGATGTGATAAAAGCGCCTGTGGGTGTCCCAATACTTTTGTCCATATAGCGTGCGTGTGTGCGTGCGTGTACAATGCATTCGGAAAGTCTTCAGAACCTTTCACTTTTTTCACATTTTCAGATGTTGCGGCCTTGTGCTAAAACAAATAAAAAGAAAGAATTTTTTAAAATTTATTGAAATGGAAAAACTGAAATATTGCATTGACATAAGTATTCAGACCCTCTACTCAGTATTTAGTTGAAGCACCTTTGGCAGCGATTACAGCCTCCAGTTTTCTTAAGATGCCACAAGGTTTGCACACATGGATTTTGGGATTTTCTGCCATTCTTCTCTGCAGATCCTATCATCTCAGGCTCTGTCAGGTTGGATGGGGATCGTTGGTGGCCAGCCATTTTCCAGTCTCTTCAGAGATGTTCGATCAGGTTCAAGTCCGGGCTCTGTCTGGGCCACTCAAGGACATTGTCCCTAGCCAGTCCTGTGTTGTGTTGGTTGTGTGCTTAGGGTCGTTGTCTTGTTGTGCGACCCAGTCTGAGGTCCCAAGTGCTCTGGAGCAGGTTTTCATTAAGAATATCTATGTACTTTGCTCCATTCAGCTGTCCCTCAACCCTGACCAGTGTCCTTGTCCGACCTTCTGAAAAACAACCCCACAGCACGATACTGCCACCACCATGCTTCACTGTAGGGATGGTTTAGGGCAGGTGATGAGCAGTGCCCGGTGTCCTCCAGACATGACACATGAATTGAGGCCCAAAAGTTTCAAGAGAATCATGTTTCTCACATTCTCTGAGTCCTTTAGGTGCTTTTTTGCAAATTCCAGGTGGGCTTTCACGTGTCTTTTACTGAGGAGAGGCTTTTGTCCGGCCACTCTGCCATAAAGCCCACATTGGTGGAGTGCTACAGTGATGGTTGACTTTCTGGAAGTTTTTCTCATCTGCACACAGGATCTTTGCAGCTCAGCTAGAGTGAACATTGGGTTCTTTGTCACCTCTCTTACCAAAGCCATCCCCCCCGATTACTTGGTTTGGTGGGGCGGCCAGCTCTAGGAAGAGTCCTGGTTGTTCCAAACTTCTTCCATTTAAGAATTATGGAGGGCACTGTGCTTTTGGGAACTTTGAGCAGCAGAAAGTTTTTGTAGCTTTCTCCAGATCTGTGCTTCCACACAATCCTGTCCCTGAGCTCTACAGGCAGTTCTTTCCTCCTGACTTGGTTTTTGCTCTGGCAGCTGAGAGACCTTGTATAGACAATTGTGTGTCTTTCCAAATCATGTCCAATCAAATATGATCAAGAGAAATGGGAGGCCCCCATAGCTAGATTTCAAGTGTTATAGCAAAGGGTCTGAATTCTTACGTCCATGTGAAATTTTGACGTGGTAGATTTCTCTAGAAAGGCGCATTTCACACCAAACCACTCTGAATGATTTTCTTTACATCTAAACGGTTGAATGATAATGAATGAGTTCCCTTTTAAGCATTTGCCCAGTATCTTCTATTGTAAGTGTGTTTTGTATTAGTGGGCTTCAGTTCAAAAAAATGTATATATAGATTATATACATGTGTATATAGATATATAGATTATGCAGTAGTTTTTAAACCTGCCACAGGTTGTCTCTCCTTTTCCAACAAACACACTTGCATGCTTTGTTTCTACCTGTAGGATCTTTTCTCTTTTTTTGGTGTGAGTGGGGGTGCGGGTGTGTCCCCCTCTAACTCCCACTGTTCTTCCTCTCTGTCCTCTACAGGTATAAAGGAAGTCATTTTCCTGTCAGATAAATATCATGACACTCCAGAGATGACTGCCTCCAGAAGACTGCTGAACCTGGCAGGAGTCCAATATAGGTAGGTGTTCAGAGAGGGGGTTGAACAGCCTTTCATTTTCATCCTTTTAATGAGAAATATAGTGAAAATACATAGCTATCTGGGTTAGGTATAAGTCACTACATACATGACAAATCACGCTTCTGACAGCAGTGTGAAACCATCTTAGAAATCTCTTTCTAATGAAACATATTTGTTCTCTGCTCTTAAAGTCCTGCTGATATCCATGATATGCTCAGGAAAGTGTGTTGTAATTTTAATTTATGTACTTATGCTTTATCAATAAACAAATAAATATGTAACTTCTCAAATTGAAGCACATAGTCCCTTCCCCCTTGACATGTATAGTAATATGCAAAAGTTGAACTACATGTTGTATTGAACTGAACTGAAGTTAACACATCCTCGTCAGTGAACACATTTCTGCACACATACACACACACATATATATATATATATATACACATACATACACACACAATGACGAATGCTATAGGATGAGGGAGTGAGTTGGTTACAATAATGATCTCTTCAGGGAGCTGTGGGTCATCAGTAGCAGGCCACAAAACAGCCTTAAACAAGCTAAAGAAAGAGAAAGGCAGTCATGATCCTTTCAAAATGTATATATTCATATATTGTGCCTTAGGAAAAGACATCAAATTGACATTTTACTGTAAAATGGCCCTGCAGATTTGAATGATTTCATAAACCTGGTTATATTTTTTCTCTGTCCTCCCCAAGCAGCTATAAAAAGGCATTGAGCTGTGGATAGATTGCACTGTATATTAACCAGTCAGGCAAAAATGGACAAGCGAAGTCTGATGCATTGAAAATACACATGTTAAGGCTGGTACAGTTAAAGAATGCATCTTACACTTTTCTTGGTTTATTTATTTACTTTGTCTAGAAATTGACTTGTACTGTTAATGGTTTTATGTACAAAATCAGCCTCTTTATCCTTTAGAAGTAAGTAGGCTGTTTTTATTACTGTGCCTTCAAGGTTTATGTATGTCAATGACTCCTTTTTTTTGATTAGCTGATCTGTACTGTATCACTGACATCACAAAAACAGTTTAGAATGGGGTGTTCTTACAGCTTATTTTTTCATATATGTAGTGTTCACTTTGCAGTCTGCCGAAACATTAACAGTGTTTACATTTATTATTTATTTCAAAGAAGCACGGAAGATTCCATGATATTTGGCCCTTTAATGGCTGCATGGCTAGATTAGATTTAAGTCTGGAATTGAGTGTGTGTCTGGTGCTCTGAGAGATTGTGTTTTAATAAATGTTCCTCTAGGTAAAGCATGGTGTCCAAATTTGCTGATTTGTTTGCAGAACACTCTCCCCTGTTTCAGCTATTCTGTTTTTTTTCCTCTATTTCTGTCTGTGTCTCGCTGCCTAGACTACAAGCTGAGGCAATCCTGTCATGTTGAAGACTGCTCGCTGAAAATCTTCAGTCAGCTTGTTATCTGTTGCTCAGGCAAGCGAGCGCTCAGTTTGTGGCATCAGCTGACAAATTAAAGAGGGAAAGCCCAGAAAGGAAGATGTGATGGATGCCAAGAGCCTTTTTAGACACATAAATGCAGACTTTACTGCAGCAGCCTGGTCCATATTTGGACTTTAATGTTTAGGGCAGACAGCAGTTAACTATCTCAGCATAGTGAAGGTAGTCAACCAATAGAAACGTACAGAGAAGACGGATGAAAGTCCAAGATGGAGGAGCGTAGCAATGCGATGTACTCTGTTCCTGTTCTTTGCCTTTGTGGCCGTTATCTGCTTGGCTCTGTATATGGCCATCATCAAAATTTTCTTTCGATAGCCAATATTCTTCATGTATATACAGTATATATGTACACACACACACACACACACACACACACACACACACACACACCCAAAACACTATGACCACCTTCCTGGTGACTATGCTGTTGTTCCTGCTAGTGTGGACGCCCTGTGCTATCTGCCACCACTGTTGGCAGCAGATCCTTTAAGCCCTGTAAGTTGCGAGGTAGAGCTACCGTGCATTGGACTTGCTGTTCCAGCAATTCCCACAGATTCTTGACCGGATTTAGATCCAAGGAATTTGGTTCCTGAGACCATTCCTAAACCATGTGTGCATTGTGACAGCGTGCATTGTTTTACTGAAAGAGGCCACTGCCATGTTGCCACAATGTTTAGGTAGGTGGCATGTCACAAATTGACATCCAAATGAATGTTTTTCAGCAAATCATTGCCCAGAGCATCACACTCCCTCCACCTGTTTGTCTGCTTCCTATAGTGCATCCTGGTGCCATAATTTCCCCAAGTAAATGGCGCACACATACTTGGCCATCCACATGATGTAAAGGAAAATGGGACTTATCAGACCAGGCAACCTTCTCCTATTGCTGCAAAATCCAGTTCTGACGCCTGCAAGCCCATTTTAGGCACTTTTGATGCGACGGTAGACAGGGGTGAAGGGCAAACTGAGAGTTCTATGGCTGAAACCCCAGACACAGCAGGGTTCACAGAAGCCCTGGTTCTCAGCGGAGTACAAACGCAAATCCTTGGCAGCAAAAATTGCAATAGTTTGTAATTCACTTCACCCTTCGAGTTGGGTGGAAGCTTTGACATTGCTTGCCCGATGGTCCACTGGTTGGCAGCAACTACAACTGGGCGTTTTTCTTCCTCCTCTGGGTGGAAACGTGTAATATCGTTTCTCATGTTTGTCATGTTTACAAAACATTTTAGTTTTGTGTGACATAACTTACATATAGTGTGGCTGTTGTCCAGTTTTTTTTTATTATTTATTTTTTTTTCCCTTCAACCAAAGTGCTTTTTAATGCAGAGGCCACCGGTTGGATTTCTCATTCAATGGAAAAATGGATAAAAGTCTTACAGCACACAGCAACAATTTTAAGATAGAAGTTAAGCTACAATTAGCTACTTTAAAAAGTAACTTACAGTTTATGTAATAGAAGAATGTTACAGCAATAGTGATGTAAGCATCTTGTGTACATGTGTACATTAGACATCATTTTGGGATGAAAAGCTTTCCTCACTGCACAGTAAATGAACCAGACTGAGAAAAGGAACACACAACCATTTCTGATAACCAGTCTTGGACTGAAAGGTATAAATAGTATGCTGAGTTATGAAATTCACATCATTCTTGTGAGTGCAGTTTGAAGGGCAGGTCACCTTGCATGACAAAACAGGAATGTAAAGCTGAGGGGGTTCAATATTCCAATATATATATATTTTTTTTTACTCTAAATTTTGAATGCCCTGCTTGAATACCTATATAACTTCACCAAAAGTTTTTCAAATGAATGTACATACAGCAGACATTAAGTACAGACTATTATGCGTTGCCTGTATTGTTTCTGTGCATTGCTGTTTCTTTTGTCTCAGAACACTGTCCTGATGAAATAGTTTTTCTCTGGTATTTATTTTATTATATGACATAAAAAAAGCAATCCAAAAGTGATGGAAAGTAACCAGATCATGCTACTTTGTTATACAAACCCAGTCCAAAAAAGTTGGGACAGTATGTGAAATGCCAGTAAAAACAAACAGCAGTGATCAGTAAATTCTGTCTGACCTGTATTAAATTGAAAACAATACAAAAACACAGTTATACAAGTCTTAAGCGGCGCAGCTATACAGGGTTTTTGTTGTAATTTTGCACTTTACAATGCATTTATAGTAGGAGACATTACACAACCATGTTGTAACATAAGCAAAAATTTTTTTGATGTTATGTTAAAATAAGTCTGGTAAAGATGGCATCTAAAAGGCAGCATATGTTGCACCAAAATGTGATTATCTTTCAGCATGATGTGGAAGTTACCCCTGCTATTGGCATTATTGCACCCTGTACCCTGACAGACAACTGGCTTTTCAACTTTATATGCTGGTAACAAACCTTTTGGGTGTTACCAAGCTTAAGTTTAATCCTTAATTTATATAATCCTTAACTCATCCTTGCTCATAAAAGACTAGGCTTTCCTGGATGATCTTTTTATACCCAAGCATAATTACGTCACCTCTTTTAAAATGTTTTCTAAACATTTAACAAACTTTCTAGTCTTAAATTGCACCTGTCTTAACTTTTTTGGAAACATTGTAGGCATCAGCTTCAGAATGACTGTATATTTACAAAGAACAATGAAATTGATAGGGTAAAGCATAAATAATTTTGTTTTTTATACTGTTTTCATTTAAATACTGGTTGTGGATTTACGAATCACTGCTTTGTTTTTATCTACTATCCTGACTTTTTTGGAATTAAGTTTGTAGTAATCCTTTGAATTAGGTTACAATTCTTTAACTGGTTGTGAATAATCTGTACCAGTACATGCATGTGAACCAACTTTCCCACCCCTGCTGCCAGCGTACTAATTTGAAGGTGTGTACTATGGGGCGGTGTCTGAACCAGAATGTACTGAAAACAAGCAACGAAGATTAAGGTTGCATTGTATTGTAAAGAATGGAAAGCAGAAAGCAAAGTACTGGATGTGTTTATTATTATTATTATTATTATTATTATTATTATTATTGCTACTTTGAGTGGCCCTTTGTAGATGAAACAAACACTCAACAGACTCACTAATGTCAAAAACATGAGGGTTAGGATTAGGTTTTGGGTTAAGGTTACGGTTAGGATTGGGATAAGGTTAGGTTTTGTGTAATGGAAGTAACATTAACAATACATCTATTTAATGTAAGTAATGTATCAACAGTACATCTCTAAGATATTTACTGATATGTTGATGTTACTGATAATCTGTTAAGAGTTTATTAATCATCTACAAAGGACCACTCTAAATAGTGTTACCATTATAATTATGTAACATTTAAATGTCATAGGATCCTCAAGCTGCTTTAGGTCATCTTTCATTTAGGTTGAGCGTTTGAGTCTTGAGTGTTTGGTTGACGCACAGCTCTGCAGATTTGTGTAGTTGTGTTTTCTGTAGCTTCCGTAGTTTCAATGAACTGTAAGCTGCTGCCATGGCTGAAATGAAGTTTGACCATTAGTCTGAAGTGTAAAGCTGTCTGCCCATGAGGCCTTGGGGTTTCATTTGTGGTATAGTTTCAGGTAATTCATCTGCTACTCATACGTTATGAAACTCGTCACCAATGCTAATCTAATGTCCTCTTAACAACCCATGGGAGTAAAACGCATCAAAATTTCAGTAGCCTGCTTTTTAATTAGTTCTGTTTTAATATTTAATATTTTAATGACATGTTTTAATACATATCCACAGGGTGGTACATGCCTTCTTTAATGAGATTCAGGAGGAAGTGGCAGTTGGCGCTCAAAGTGCCACGTGTTTGAGTTAAAGCACTGGAGCCACAGTGTAAGAGAAATCCATCCACCGTGCCTAATTCACCCAAGCTGTATAGAGTCCGACTGTAAATATGCTATGATTTTCATCAGAGCCTAATCAGACGCAACTGTGGGCAGATGAGTCTGAGGAGATAAAAGAAACAACTCTTGCGGGGAAGAAAATGGGGGAAATCCTTGAAGACACGTTCCTGCTGGCTGGCTGGCTGCAGGAGCAGAGGTTAATTCCCTTGCTGCTTCTTTTTGAAGCTTGTCCTCTACCTGTGGAAATACTTCCTGCATGACGGCAATTATTACTGTCTCTGCCGCCACTTCTGTCTCTTTGGCTCTGTCTCAGTTTGTGGTGTTGGCTCCAGAGCTTTATTTTGCACCAGGGGGCAAAGGGCAAAAACACAAGGAGAGGGCCAAAAAGCACCCCTAAAACGTTAATTTAAATGAATCTTTAAATGTAATAAATCAAAGTGAATGGGTGTAACTTTGAAATTGTTTGTACATCATGACTATGGGTAAGTATTATACTTCATTCAGGTATTATTGAATAAATAAGTACTTCTTTTCATAAAGGAGAATTTTATTTATTTTAAAATGAAATTTAAAATGTAGATGAAGTTAAAATATTCTGTGTTTCATCATATATTCAATACCCCCAAATTCCAGTGAGAAAGGTGCAGAAATTACCTTTTAAAACAAAACACCCTGAATGGTTAGCACATCTGTCCGAAGATTAGAAAGAACCTTCTATTCTTGACCTTTGGCTCCATGACCACAGATAAGAAGACAAACGAGTGGTCCAGTGCAGGAGATATTGGGCTGAAATGAGCTCTTCTCTGTTTGCATCGCGGCCGAATCCATAAGTAAAGTGTCTGAAACTTCCCTTCTGAACTGATGTTTTGGAGACAGAGATAATGTGTGGGAGTCTGCAGATGACTTTTTTTTCTTTTTTTTTTAAAACCCTTTTTGTTATTTTTATTATTGTTTTTGTCTGAAATTGGTCACATTGTTGACTGAAACACACCTGGAATGTGTCACAGCGAACAAGAGAAAATCAGAAACCAAAAGCAGTTGAACCCTTTGATGTGTTTAATCTGTTTTCTCTACATTCAGTTGATATTACATCATTGTTTGATTTAATTATACAGTTACATGAAAAGAACGCCTGTGGATTTTTTCAGATCTGAAGAAGAGTGGAGCTTGATTTTTCTCCTGTCTCTCAAAGTTGAAAGCTTTAAGTACTAGTTGATGGTGACAGTTTTGGTGGTCTACCAGATCTTGCATGATTGCTAGGAGTCCCATTTTCTCTGTATATATTTATTTATTCTATGTATAATAATTTGATACACCAGTTTTGGAAGCTCATGTATATCTTCTACTTAATGTTTGTTTTGACTTGAAATTAAATCAAGGAAGGGTGGTCTTTGACTTTTGCAAGGTGCTGTACTTAATTGCAATTATGTCATGAATAACATTTATGTTTGATTTATATTTTGGGTTGACTTTTTTCCATTTGTTTTAATGTTAAAAAAAAAACATGGCAGAAATGTAATGGATGTTTTCTCTTTCAATGAGTTATGAATGAGAAATAATTTAATGGAATGTAAGGAGAGTTTTACATCTTAAGTCTTTTTAGGTATATGCCGTGGAGGATCTAGGAGCGTAAAAAAGAAAGACAGGAAAGTGTAGAAACATGAAGGACTGTAAAAGCTAAGAGGAAACGTTCTGATGTCTGAAACAGAAAAAGAGAACTGGCAAAGTCAGGAAAGGAATAAATAGGCTGAATTTGAGGTGTGAAAAATGCTCAGCCCCCTGCTGTCTTGGCAGGTGGTCTGGGACCTGAACAGCACCTGCGGTTAGAACCAGTACCCCCACACTTCTCAGAGGAGGATTCTGGGTAATTGGCTGCTTCAAAGCTCCTGCATGCTGGAGTGGATTGAGATGAAAGAGTGTGAACGTACAAGCTAGCTGTATCACTGTTTTCTTGCTCTCACGCTCTCTTCTAATTTCTTACTCCTTTCTCCATTCCCTGAAAAAAAAATAAATAAATGAATAAATAATAATAAAATAATCATGAGCTCCACTTACGTTCTAGATCCTCTGCTGTCTGTGTATATAGGGGTGCGATTACAGACTGTAGTCAGTCTTTTGCTGCACAGTTTATAAACTCCCCTCTACCTCATTACATCATTGATCAGTTTATGACCACAGGACTGATGTCTAGATATTATTTGGTGTTGGATCATTCTTAGCACTGACATTGGTGTGTATGTGGTGCTGGTACAAGTGTATCAGACACAGCAGCACTGCTTGTGTTTTTTTTTACGTTGTATACTAGGCACTTTATTAGAAACCCCTCTATCAGAAACCTGACCTTATAGCGCCACCTTGCTGACATACAGCTAGAAACTGGCTGATGCTGTTTTCAGATCAAACAATTTTAAACTAAACATCATAAAAATGTGTGTTAACTGCGCATGTATAAATTCACTTTACCATTTTCAATTATTATATTTGTATAGTTTAGCTGATTCGTTGTTTGACTGTTTTCTTCTGTCCTCCACCTTGATGAAAATAATGTTGAAGTCAGAATTTGCCAAATTCATACTGCATTAAAAATGTCTCCTGGTGGGGAAACTTGTATTTCTAATAAAATTAAGGCCACCACAGCGTGACATCTGTTGTGTCACAGTTTGTGTTAGCTATCATCTATCCCTTGATCTGTGGTCAGTTTCTGACCACAGAGCCACTCTTTCCTGGATATTTTTGGGCTTTATATTTTGGGATCACTTTCAATCTATCACACTGACCTGTGTGTGTTTTTAACTCCAGCAACACTGCTGTGTCTGATACACTCATAGTAGCACCACACACACTACCATGTCGGATTCACTGCTGTGCTGAGAATATTATCAGTAATTTTTGGTCAGTGGTGATCTTGTGGTAGTCCCTTTCCTTCGATGGACAGGGGAAAGGGGGCAGATAAATTGTGCTGCTACAGCTTGTAAATGTACACCTATGAAGTGGACCTAAAAGGAAGGAGTTTCTGAGGAAATTGCCAATGAGTCTAGCTACAATGAAGGGATTTTTAAAATAAATTGGCGAATATGTCTAATAAGCTGTATAATATGTATAATGAATATAGTGTGAAATAAAATTTTTGTTGGTTCTTTTGTTCTATTTTTTTATCATGTCTAATGTTTTGTGTTTTTCAGGCAGTTTACACCAAAACGAGGCCAGATCATTATTGACTTTAACTCCATCAATGGACTCTGGAATGGACAGCGTGAGTGTGACTGAGGAGGTGTACTCCCAGTAACAGCCAGCCTTTACTGAACAACTGAACTATCGAACATTAGTAAAATACCAAACATTACTAAAATACTAACCATTACTGAAATAAATGCCACAATACTGAATATTTCTGAAATAGTTCTTCAGTGCTCTGTCTGTCTTGTTAGTGTTAGTTTTTGCTGTGTGTGTGTTATGTAAATGTTATGTCAAAGGAAAACCAGTTATCTCCAAAATAGTAACTTTACAGGAGACATTGGAGCATATCTAGTGGTCCAGTCATCCTGACATTTTCATATAAAGTAAAGGCTAGCTGCTAAGCTTAAATTATGCAGGAAACTAAAAATAGCAAGAAATGGAAATACTTTTAATACTTTTGGACAGTGACATGTATACCCAGAATTTGTAGTTTGATGTTCACTATGCACATAGATAGCTCCTGAAACCTGTAAGACTTTTTTCTTTTTAGAAGTGCTAATCCAGGTCCAGTCAAAACATCGGTACTTTATTTAGTGCATCGAGAATACGTTTAAGGGTTGTTATGCTAAACTTTTAAGAAACCGTGAAGAATCAAAGGGTTATTTGTTTTTTTTTTTTTAATACTGTAACTGAGAGGCTGATTGAAATTTAATTTAGTTGTATGCTATTACTGTATTTTTGTGCTTTTGCTGAATATTATAAAAAGATATTAAAAAGAACAAGTAATAATTCAACTGAACTGGTGAACATTATTCCTCCTTCCCATGAACCAAATGTAAGTTTACCAAGTTGTATATATTTTATTTAACTTAAAAAAAAAATCCATGTTTGTGGTTTTCTTGTTTTTTCTGACTGCACATAACACTCATCCTTATTTCTGTAGGGGTGCATGTGTGTGTGTGTCTGGCAGGTCATTGAGGTTGGGTTGATGCGTGCCAGGTGAGAATATGCTACCTGGGTGTGTGTGACCTTGAGTACAAATCCAGCTGGCAGCAAATTGTAATACTCAGTCAATCTGGCAACATTTCTCCATAAAACTGTTGCAACCTCACCTGTCGTGACAAAATGAAGCTGGTAATGGATAACGTACATTCTGCCAGATCATTTTCCTTCGTCTCTGGAGCGCTGGCACACACACCAACAAAGTCTGCTCAGGGTTTCTTTTTTCTTATTTACTCCAGGTGTAGTTGATCAGTCAAGATGTTTGGTGTCTGAAGTTTGCTTCTTTAGTTTTGCATTGGAGCTACGATGGAGATGTAAAGTAATTGGAAATGTAAAATGGACAACAGTATATCACAGCTAAAAAAAAAAGTAGAGATGGACTAATCATAAATTTTCTGATTCCAATTTCTTTATATGCAAATCAGCTAATGTGTTTTTTTTATTTGTTTGTTTTTTTTTGCCATTTTCTATTAGCCTAAATATGCTTTTAGTAAAAATTGTATTTATTTGTATGTGTTTTTTTTATTTTCCCCAGTTCTTTCTTTTAACTAAAGTCACAATCTAAATAACATTATCCAGTCTTTAAAAGGCTAACCTGCTATTTTAAATGCTTAAATGAAAGCTCAGTTGCATATTTAATAACATGGATCAAATAAAATGCTACATTGAAAGTAAGTGGTGACTAGTTGTTTATGCATAATTATGTTGCAACATTTTGGTGTAGGTTTAACAGCAGTATTCAGCTTTCAGGGTACAAACACAGTCACTAGTAGGGGTGCGGGAATAAATCGATTCTTAGATGCATCGCGATGCAGACGTGGACGATTCTGAATCAATTTATAAATGTCAAAAAACGATTTTCTAAATATTTAATTTATAATGTAATGTTGACGGAACGCAAAGGGCGGAACTTGGAAGTGGGTAAGTGCAGCGCCCAGACAGTCTGTGGCGGCACATAACAAAAACACAACCGAATGAGCGAGAAATCCGACCGGCTCCCTCTGCATTAAAGCCAGATTAGATCAGGAGTCACAACCCAAATGATAAGAAGAGACATTTCGTCCTTTCAACAAAAATCAAACCATCTTGGGAGCAGCAACATTTATGTCCAGTATGTGATAATGTGCTAGTATAGGCTAAACAATATAAATGAAAACACAGACTTACTCTGCTCTGCTTTAAGCTTTAGCTAGTTATAGCCGCTTTTCTTCCAACTCCGCCAGAAAACTTTTCCTCAAAAATTGAATAGTTTCTTGTAAAATGTCTCTCAGCTTTCCGCTATTTTACGAGGCTGAAGTCACTTCTCATTCGCCAGCTTCTTGCTGAACTTTCCGGTTCCACCTTAAATTCTCACTGAGGCGCCGAATGTAAAAGCGGCACCATTTAAGGTGGAACGGGAAAATTAGAGAAGCGACTTCATCTTCGCAGCTTCGCATCTTTTAGTTAGTGTTTGACAGTCTCTCGTTGCAGATTTGACGTACCAGAAAACCAACTGCGCTGCTTATAAATGCGAATAAGTCTATTCGTCTCCAAATGTTCGTCTGTCTTTCTCTTTTCCTTTTTCGTTCGCTACTAGCTCAGCGAAACCTCGTTGCTAGGTGACCTGCAGTCTTCTGCAGTGCCACTTCACTTGCCACATTACTTCCATTTGTTTTATTAATAAAAGATATTGGATGTAAATGCATTATGGATCATTACAAATACTTTGTTTTAAAACTACAAAGTCCTCAGACAGTAAGAAAATAGAAATCGTATAGAAAAAAAGATGCATCGAGATGTATCGATAATTGTTTTATAATCGCATCGCAGCCCTCTGAATCATAATTGAATCGAATCGTGAGGTGCCTAGAGATTCCCACCCCTAGTCACTAGGATGGTACCCTTAAGAGTATGTCTTCAGTACTATGTTCCATTTCACGTTTATTTTTTAAATTACATTTACTCCATAAACCCTGTCTTTCATTCCAGGCTTTTTATTATATTTTTCTACTTTAAAATTATAAGTTATGAAAAGGTACAAATATGCCCTCTTGCTCTGTGAAGGTCAATATATACTGATCAGGCATAACATTATGATCACCTCCTTGTTTCTACGCTCACTGTCCATTTTATCAGCTCCACTTACTATATAGCAGCACTTACATATACACTCAGACCAGCACAACACACTAACACACTACCACCACATCACTGTTACTGCAGTGCTCAGAATGATCCACCACCCACCTGCTCTGTGAGGGTCCATGGGGGTTCTGACCACTGAAGAACAGGGTAAAAGGGGGCTAACAAAGTATGCAGAGAAACAGATGGACAACAGTCTGTAATTGTAGAACTACAAAGTGCACCTATATAGTAAGTGGAGCTGATAAAATGGACAATGAGCATAGAAACGAGCAACAAACATGTTATGCCTGATCGGTGTAGTGTACCTTTAAAACTCAGGTACACAACTGAACTTTAAGACCTTATTGTGTCTTTGAGGGTACATATACAATTGTTTGTTCCTTGGGAGACACCCTGTTTTTGACAGTGTAGGGCATGTCAATTGGTGGGCTATAAGTTTACTTTTTTAGTTTTACTGGGGTGACCAGTAGCTTAGTGGAAGGAGAAGTGAGCCAGCAATAAATTTGCCTCGTAGAACCAATATTCTATTTCATGTAGCTAACATGTAATGACTGTTTTCTGAGTAGCATTTAACGTCTACTAAAGCCATGTAGCTCCAGTGCAAAGCTAAAAATGCTAACTTTAGACACCAAACATGTCTTGACTGATCAACTGCCTTTGGGGTAAAGGAGGATTTTTAACAGAACCTTTCTCTTGGCTTCACATTAGCCTCCGTGCTCAGGCAACTGTATTATCTGAGCCCATAGCCTGAGTATGACTTATTGAAGCAGATATGGCTTTGCCTTAATTGGTGATGTTATGGTGAAGGACCACTGGGTGGCAGCTTTGCACTTACAGGAACTTCTGACCCTTTTTTGCATTGGGTCAGAGACATTATCAGAGGAGGAGACAGTTCACTGGTTGAAATGTTTGAAATGGCAAACCCTGCAGTGCTCCTCCAAGTCAGCACTTGATGTATGGATGTATAGAGCAAGAAATCTCAAGGCTGGTAGGGTTATTTTAAAAGCATACATTTGGGACAGACTTGTGCAACAGAAAGATTATGCATGTAGTAGAGATGAAACGATATTAAAATTTCATATCACGTTTATCATGACCAAAATTATCACAATTATTGGTATTATCGCGATATTGTTCAAATGTGTTGAAAAGTAAAATAAATAAAAAATAAATACTGATACACAAACTGAAACTCGTTTCACCAACTTTTATATTAACACAAATAGAATTGGCAGCAATATGCACTTTTTGTTTGCATAAACATTAAAAAATAGTCAATACATTTGTAGTATTACTTTTGTATTACCTACAATACTTTTAATACTCTGTAAACAAAAGAATAGCAAAAGTATTATTACTGTTATTATTATTATTATTATTATTATATTATTATTATTATTATTGTTATTATTATTAATTACAATAACTAGGGATTTCCCTGCATAGAGAATTAAATCTGGACCAACTCTGAGGTGGGTCTTAATGGAAAACTACTACTTCTAAGAAGTGCTGCACTTGGGGGATTTCTGTCCGAACTGCAGCTGCAGCATTATTGTGCCGTTGTGGCGCTGAACCCTAATCAATACAGTGCACCAGGAAAAACAAAATGACAGAGGAATTGCGTGACCGTGCTGTGAGCGGCAGACAGTGTAGAACTCACACGGTGTGTCTTCACCTGTGGAGCTGCTTCTCTAAAAGCATTTTAAAACTAAAACATAACTTAAAATTAACATACGTGAAGAAATACGTGTTAAAAGCTTTAGTTTCGATTCACAGTTGATTTACCGATTGTTTTTCTTTTTTTTGATGCTAAAAGCTTCATTTTATATTATTAACGAACCATAAGCATAGGTTAAATCACACAGACCATGACATTTCTTCTATTTCGAAGTCCCCACAGACTTCTCCATTAAAGTTAACCTTGCATTCTTGCAAGTAGCAGGTGGTGGTCGCGAAGATGACTCGGTAAGGTTTGATGTGTTGCCCCCATTCGCCGCTGTGAGCTGCAGACAGTGTAGAACTCACACGGTGTGTCTTCACCTGTGGAGCTGCTTCTCTAAAAGCATTTTAAAACTAAAACATAACTTAAAATTAACATGCGTCTGTGCTGTGGCAGAAACACTCCTGAAGTTTAATCTCTGAAACACAGCGTTTACTCGCGCAAGGGCCCGTCTCAAAGCACACTATCTTCCCTATGTAGTGCACTTCGTGGATCATGAAATAGCAAATCTTTCACCCAAAGAGTGCAAGAAATGTTCGACTAAGTCATCTATAATCAACATTAACAACAGGTTACAAATTCCCTATTTA